GGTGCTCTGAGCTCAACCTCTCATCGTGGCCAGGAGTGGGCCAGGGACTTGTCCAAGGCCACTCATCCTCCAGGGGCAAAACTAGGACTGGCCCCACACTTCCTGATGCCAGCTGTGGATGCCTTATGTGCCTCCACCCATGTCATAGTTGCTCTTGAACACATTATTCCAGAGGGACTTTGGGGAGCCCACAGTGGGCCAGGTGACCTCTTCCTCCCCTAACTTCAGCAGGCTCAAGGTAAGGTGTGATATGTTCATATAGAAAACCTCCAGGGCAATTCTCTGCACACAGTATGTCCTCAATGATACACCTCCCAGCAGCACTGACCAGGTGGCCAACCCTCCCCCCACCCCAAGCTTGGGAGCATCTTAACCAACATTTATAAATCCTTGCACTCACCCCATGGAGCTGCCTGTAATAATAAGTACAGGTTACCAGGTGCTTCCTCTCACAGACACTATTCTAAGCACATGATATGAATTATCACCTTTAATCTTGACAACAGTCCCATGAAATCAGGTCCATAGGGGCTGGCCCGGTGGTTGAGTGGTTAAGTTTGCATGCTCTGCTTAAGTGGCGCAGGGTTTCGCCAGTTCGGATCCTGGGTGCAGACCTAGCACCACATGTCAGGCCATGCTGAGGCGGCGTCCCACATGGCAGAGCCAGAAGGACCTACAGCTAGAATACACAACTACATACTGGGGGGCCTCGGGGAGGAGAAGGGAAAAAAAGGAAGATAGGCAACAGATGTTAACTCGGGTGCCAATCTTTTACCAAAATATCAGGTCTATAATTAGCCCCCATTTTATAGATGGGAAAACTAAGGCGCAGAGCAGTTAAGTGACTTGCCCACGTTCATATTTCGAGGAAATGATTGTCCCGGGATTGAAACTCTGGCAATCTAGTTCCAGACCTGTGCTGTTACTGTGCAGTCCCAACGCAAGACCTCACTGCCCTGGGCAGTCGCAAGGGCCTCCCAATATACTTCAGCTTGCAGCTTGGGAGGACAAACACCCATCTCTTTTATATCCCCTCCAAGTGAAGTTTGGGTATGCAACATGGCCTACATTTTAACTTATTAGCAGTGCCCAGTGGAACTTTCTGCCATGATGGAAACGTTCTGTAACCCACAGTCTCCAATGAGGTAGTGTGAGCAAGTGCAACGTGGCTAGTGTGACTAAGGAACTGAATCTTTTATTTAATTTTAATTAATTTAAACCTAAATAGCCACACGTGTTTAGTTGCTACTGTATTGGACAGTGCAGATCTAGACCTTTCCAAACATACCCTCCAAATCGGGTGACGACCCATCTAATCATTTGACCTGATGCAGTGTCAGACAAGTAACAGGCATTCTATTTCATTTAGAATAGGAAACACTGACCCAGAGGGTAGTGATGGCATGAGGTCACACAGCCGGGTCCAGAGCAAAGCTGGCCCCAAGCCCAGCTCCATCTTTTCCTCCACATGGTGCTCAGTCAATTTCTGTCCCCTCCCATCTAGCCCAGGCCTTTCCCAGGACGTCCACCCAGTGTCCATCTTTGGCCAGCTGACTCCTCAGCATATACTTTGTGATTCCCAATTACCAACACAGCCTGAGACATGGGTCATATAGAACCTTCTAGAACCCTTGGAGAGTGTATGCATGGTGAGGCCCTTTATGCTCACACCTCCAGCTGCAGATTTGCAGGATCTTGGATGGTCATCTCTGGAGGGACAGTTAGAAGCCATCTTGGGGCCGGCTCCGTGGCCGAGTGGTTAAGTTCGCGCACTCTGCTGTGGTGGCCCAGGGTTCAGATCCTGGGCGCGGACATGGCACCGCTTGTCAGGCCACGTTGAGGCGGCGTCCCACGTCCCACAACTAGAAGGACCTGCAAGTGGGATATACAACTGTGTACAGGGCGGGGTTGGGGAGATAAAGCAGGAAAAAAAAAAAAAGATTAAAAAAAAAAGAAGCCATCTCGATGAGGCTGAACTAGATGTGAGATGGCAAATAGCATACGTGCTGCCATTCTCCATACTGCCGATGGCAGACATTGCTAATCAATCCTCACTGCCACTACCCTCATTCCCGTTTTATCTTCTCTCACCAGACTATTACATAAGCTTCATCTCTGGCCTCTGCCTCCATTCTGGATCCCTCCCCAACATCCATTCACTACACCAGGGCTAGATTAATCTTCCTTAAATATATATTTAGAGTGTTGGTTTTGCCACTTACTCACTGGGTACCCCTGGCAAGTGTCTTCCCCTCAGTTTCTCTGCATGTAAAAATGAAGGAATTGGGCCATAGATGGTAAATATCTAGCACACCTATTGCCACCACCCATTCCAACATTCAGGCCAGACATTACTAATTGATTATACCCTTCTTTCCCACTGAATTCAGATGTGACCTCAAAATCTATCAATCCCTCAGTGTGGATGCACAAGATATAATCTAGTTAGTATCCTAGAAACCATCCTTAATAATCTCTTCTCCGTTGTAGGGATGGGGAAATTGAGGCCCTGAGAGGTTGAGAGGGGCTGTATATTTCTTAAGGGCTCCATCTGCTCATCCTCTACCCTGAGTGAGATGGGAGGGGAAGGTGGGCTGAGTGGAGGCCCCACAGACTCTCCAGCCCTGCAGCTGAGCTGACCACCAAGCTCCCCGTCCCTCCAGGATGGGCAAAGCTGGCCCCTGACACCGGCCTTTGCCTGGACAGGTACGGGAGGCAGATCTGAGTGACCAGTACGAGGCGGCCTGTGAGTCGGCCTGCAGCGAGGCTGAGTCGGCCGCGGCAGAGGCGCTGGACTTGCCCCTGCCCAGCTACTTCCGCTCCCGCAGCCACAGCTACCTGCGTGCCATCCAGGCGGGCTGCTCGCAGGAGGAGGACAGTGTCTCCCTGCAGTCCCTCTCCCCACCGCCCAGCACCGGCAGCCTCAGCAACAGTCGCACACTTCCAAGTGAGTACTGTGATGGGGAGAGGGCTTTATTTTAATTAATTAATTTTATTTATTTATTTATTTAGCGAGGGGACCCCAGAGACAATTCCTGGTGGGCCAGCCGCTGAAAATGCTGCAGAAGAATCCGTGGTGGGTTGGCCAAGACTAAAGAGACGGTTAGGAGCAAAAGCATGAGGTCTTGGGGCTGAACTTCCCACCAACCAGAGAACCGGAGCTCAAATGGGGCTCACAGAGGCAGACGTCACCACTGGTGGTGGGGGTGCGGGGACTGGAGAAGGCTGCAGCTTGCAGATGCTCGGTTGCCCCTGACTGTCCAGGTGCTGGCTCAGAGCAGTCACCCGCTGGTGGGCAGGGCTTTCGGAAGCCCTACCTCCGTGTTTTGATTAGTTCAGGTAAGTGAACCTCTGGGGAGGTGGGATCCTGCAGGGAGAGGATGGGATCTGCATTGAGCCTTCTCAAAAGGATGAGTTTGCAGGTTTCTCTCATATTCACAGTCAGGGACAACCCTCCTGATACTTGTTCTAAACCCTCTGAAGATAACCCATGCATGATCAGAGAATAAAGGGGACCCTGCACAGAGCAAGCCATGAAAATCAAGAAAATCAAGACCAAGGAAAATCATAGGACAATTTCTGGCTTGGTAGAGAGAGCTTTGAGCTTACTCTGGCTGGCTAGTTCTCCTCCATGAATCTCAGTTTCCCCATTGATAAACTGAGGCATAAGCCAGACCCCAGAGGGCTCTTGGGGAGATGAAATAAGAATGAGCATAAGAGTGTGTAAGCAGGACCTTGCACGTGGTAGGAGCTGACAGGTGATGGCTGTTATCACTGGTTCTCACACTTGACTCTGAGCTTCCTGACGATCAAAGGCAATTGGGGTTGGATTGTTGTAGGAAGAGAGACAGCTGTTTCAATTGCTCAATTGGTGTTTGAGGTAAATAAATGAGCCTGAGTCCCATGGATATTCTCTACACAGGAAACCAGCTCATTGATGGAGTGAACCGGTCTTTGCAGGGGGCAGAGCAAGAAACCACTTTGTTTCACTATTGCCTTCCAAACCCTGGTTTGTATCTGAGCAGATCCCCGAGCTTTTCCAGTCACTTTTAGACCCTAAGCAACAGTTTCACTTTCAAGTATTAAGAGTCCAGTCTGGTCTCATTTCAAAACTTTGGTCTCATCCACCTTGAGTCCCCTGCGCCTGCAGCTAGGACATGGCTCGGGCTGGGAAGCCCGCAGTGGGGAATGGGTGTGGTGGTCGGTGTCTTCTCTGTTCCTTGTTCACCAGTGGCTGTTCTGGTCCCTCCAGGTGGGAGGGGGAGGCAGCTAGTGCAGGTGTTGTCTGACATCAGGACTTTGCGGATGACAGATACCACATGCTGGCTCCTTCTTCTAGGTGGTGCTTTTGGAGTTTCTCCTGTCCTGCAGGGCCCTCCTGGTGCCTTCTTTCCTGGCATGGGCAATTCCCCTCCAGGCCACTGCTTCTTATTCCCTCCTCCATCCCATGGTCTCCCTCCTCCTCCCCATTCAGCCTCCTTTTGCTAGGGGACCTGGCCTTGCCAGGCAGGCATCTTGGGCAGAATCCTCTGAAGACAACTCCAGCCCTACCTTTTTCTCGGCTCCCACTTAACCCGTGTGAAAATGAGGCCTTTGCCTTGTGAAACTGTGAAAGTATGGGCTGGTCTGCTACAGCCTTCCGCCTAGACCTGCTGTGACAGGTAGCCCTGCCAGCCCCTCCATTTCAGAGGTGTCCAAGCAGGTGTTGAGGCCCAAGTTCTATGGCCCCCAAATCCAGGGGATCCCTGCCAGGCTCTCGCAGGCAGTCTGCTACAGTCTCATAGGAACCTCAAGTAAAAGATCAGCTTCTCCACATCATCAGGCTCATGAGAAGTTCTCTAAGCATGAGCTAGGCCTGGGGGGACATATAGCACCTCAGCAATTTGCTTCAAATAAACCCTCATTCACCAACCTCCCCCAACCCCAACCACTCATGAATGGGCTGAGAATGGGTCAGCTATTGCTACAATAGTGCTGCCTAACAAACAACCACAAAATTATTGTAACACAACAACTGACGTTTATTTCTTGCTCCCAAGTTTGTGGGTCAGCTGGAACTGCTCTGCTCCACATGTCTCTCATCCTCCTCCTACGACCAAAGAGTCCTGGGTCAGTGGCCTAGCCAGGGCATATTCTTCTCATGGTGATGGCATAAACACAAGAGAGCAAGCCTAACTACCCAAGCACATTTCAAGGCCCCTGCTTGCATAATATCTGCTAAAATCCTGTTGGCTAAAGCAAGTCCTATGATTGAGCTCAAAGACAAAGGATGGAGAAATACCCTCCCACCTTTGTGTAAAAAAACTGTATTTCTATGGCAAGGAGTATGGAGGGAGGAGTGAAGAATCAGGGTCAATAATTCACTCTATTACAGTCCACTCTCTTGGCCACATTTATTCACACCCCTCTCACATAGAAAATACGCCTATACTTAAGACCTCCCAAAGTCTCTTCTAGTCATAACAGCAAGATCTCCTGATCTATATCAGGTCTGGATGTGGCTCCTCTTGGTTGAATGACCTAAAATCTAAAAAAAAAAGTTATCTACCTGCCCTGCCAACTCCCCACACATCCAGCATACATTGGCAAAATATGTACAGGATAACTGCAATTCATACTCCCGTTCAGAAAGAGAGAGAAAGGGAATTCAGAAACTTACTGATCCATGACACTTCTGGAGTCCTTCTGGGCGAATGTTGGGTGAATACTCTGGGAATGTTCCTTGATTAGGCCCGAGCTTTCCTCCCTGGGGTTGACTTGCTAATCCATTGGTTTCCACAGCTCTTGGCTCTGCTCTCTGAAAACCCTTCCTTTTCCATTAGTCTTTTTGGCCACTTCTAAAGAGACCATTGAAGAATATGTCCTTTGGGCAGCTGAACAGCTTTCTTAGCCTGCCTCCTGCCTGAAGAAAGTTAGGGACCCAGATGTCTTTTTATACCTTGAATGGTCTCAGTCCCTTTAGCCTAAGCTGATCATAGTTTTGGCCATGTACCTACCTCAAACACTTTGTGGGTTTTCTATGTATTTGATTCCACTTAACTCCATGTAACGAAAGCCACACCCACAATTATTTTTGAGTCATGCCAGTGTCTCTAGACTCAATTATAACTACTTTGAGTACATCAAGCTTCTGTGGGGCCAACCTCTTAAGCTTTCTGGAAGCCTTTTTGAGTAGCTGAGAGCATCTACTAGATGGTACCTTACTATTTTAGAGTCTTAACTGGCCATGACCTTAGTTTGATCTTTGTCTTTTGTCCAGGCTCTATCTTAATTTGAGAATGATTTACTGGCAGGAGAGGCTAGAGTTGACAGATTAATTTTCCAACTCAGCAAGTTCTAGGCTCTCTATATTCCCTCTAAACACTCTGTGCCCTGCAACACTCCTATATCTTTTATGAGTTGCTCTCTTTCTCGTAAGTCCTTATCAAATGTAGCCCAAAGGCGCCAGCTTTTGCTTTCAACATTTTGCCTGGAAACTATCTCGCTTAAATCCATTTGCTCTCTTCAAGTTACTGTAGATTGACAGTTTTACCAAGCGTTTTGTCTCTATATAATATGGGCCACCTTTTTTCAAGCCTGCTGTAACAGTTCACTTACTGCTCACCAGTTGGTCCCAGAGCCAGTGCTACATATTTTCATTTTTGTTGCTAACACACCCCACTCTTGGTACCAATTTTTGTATCAGTCAACTATTACCACAATAATGCTGTGTAACAAGCAAGCACATAATTTCAGTGGCACACACAATAATATGCATTTGTTCTCATTCATGAGTTTGCAGGTTGGCTGGTTCTGCTCTGCATATCCTCCATCCCCCTCCTGGAACCAAAAGGTGCTCCTGGAATCAGCGCCCTAGCCAGGTGCTCTTCTCATGATGATGGCAAGAGTTTAAGAGGGCAGACTCCACTGTATAAGCACATTTCAAGTCTCTGTGTCACATCTGCTAACATCTGGCTGCTCAAAGCAAAAGTCACATGAGTCCAAAGCCAAGGTCCAGGGAAATACATTCCACCTTTTGTGGGAGAAACTGCAGTTACATAGCAAAGGGCATGAATACAGGGAATGATTGAGAATTGACGCCAAAAATTCAATCAAACCTAGCTCCCCCAGCACATCGCATATGGATGATCCAGCATCGGGCTTTAAATGTAGGGATGTGGGGCTCCAATTATCCTAAGTTTGAAAGCTTTAGCCCAAACGAAGACACTCAAGAAAGTATCATGTAGCAACATCTGACACCTACCCAGACATGTGTGCACATATGCACCTACTTATAGACATACATAAAGTTTTGTTCTCTTATACCTATATATGATATGAAAACACACGCACACTGATATTCTTACCTGTACACATATACACCTCATCTCTACATAGACCTGCACATGCATTCACATACATGTGTGTCTCCTTCAAGGCTCGTGCCACCTCCACACCTGTGAGGAAATTGTGCCCTAGCAGATTGGAGCCACCAAAAAAATTCACCCCCCACGTTTCCCAGGGGGAAATATTCAGCCCTCCTTCCAGGGCTCCAGAGTGAGCACTACATACTTGCTCCTCTCTCCTCTACCTCTGATCCCTTCACACTCATCAGGTAAACCCACCTGCCTTGCAGAGAAAACCAAAGCCACCCAATTGTCAAACCTGTGTGTAGAGCTGCAGCTGATGCATGAGAACAGTTCCTTTGTGCTGGGTTTGGAAAAGGCGCTCCCCCAAGACATTTCATTGCCATCTGTTGAAAAATTGTCATGATGTACAATTTTTATTAGAATAAGGTCCTTTACTGCCATCTGCCAGAAGTTTGTCATAATAAGTATATAATTCAATTATGTCTTTGTTGTGATCAACACCCCCCTAATAGGTAGCATCCTTAATCAATGTAAAACTTGTCCAACCATACATGTCAATCCTGCCCATCATCACCTCCCTCCACGTGGGCACACCCACACTCTGCCACTGTCTCCCCGCAGGGTCACCCCGCTCAAAAGGCTGCCCCCCTCCTCAGCATATGTCTCCAGTGAGTGAGCAGTCCGGGCCCTGTCCTCTGCCTAGGGCTGTTTTGAGCTCCCATGTTGCTGAGGGGCATGAAAGCTCTTTGTCACTCTCACATGGGTACATATGCTCTCGGGCCATCTGTAGGCAGGTAGGTAGATGTGGGGGGCGGTTACTGAGGCAGTGAGAGCCTGGAAGGCGGGGGCTCCTCTGGAGTGGCGGTGGCCAGGGCATGGATCTGCCCACCCACCCACCTACTCAGAGCTGGCCAGCTTCCCAGCTGCCCCCTTTCTCCCTCCCCCCTTTCTGACCCAGATTCCACATTCCAGAAATAGCTCTGGCAGGTGATTGGCAGGCTGGGTCAGCTCCAGCTGGGATGGAAGCAGCAGCTTGGCTGCATATACATGCCCCTCCCCAGCCAAAGGACCTACCTGGGAGGGGACACGGCGGTGCCCACCCTTCAGTCTGCCCCATCCTGCCTCCTCTCTCTCTCTGACTATGAAAAAGACCAGAAAGAACAGAGAAAACCCTCCCTCCCACTCCAGCCGCCTCCTCCTCTGCCCATCTCCCATTGGTGCTCATTCTCTTCTCCCTGCTTCCTTTCTCCATCCCTTTCTTCCAGCTTCCTCTCCCTCTGCCCCTGCCTCTCCACCATCTTAGCCTTCTGTCTTTCTCCCTCAGCCCTGTTTCTCCCCCCACCCTCTCTTCCTTTCTTCCCTCTCAGTTTCTGGCCCTCCTCCCTCCCCAGCCTCCCTTTCTGTGTCTCTCCCACGCCGTCTGAATCACAAGGGAGGCTGTGACATCACCCAGGGGCCTCGGCAAGCGGTGGTGGTGGGCTGCTGAGTGGCACCCCTGCTCCTGCCAACTGCATTCTCTGCACCTGCACGTGTGTACGTGTGTGTACACACACACAGAGGTGCACACACTTGGGGTCACTCCCTGGCAGTGCTTAAGGCTCTAGACTGAGCTGGGATAGGTTCCTGGCCTGGGATGCACCCTTGCTCCTTCAGGGGTCCTGTTCAGGGGTCCTGAGTTCTAGTTTCAGCTCTGCTGTGTCACTCTGGGTACACCCCAGCCCCTCCCTGTGTCTCAAATTTCCTATCAATGTTATGAGGCTTGGGTTTGTGGAACCCCCAAACACCTCCCATCCAAGTCACAGAATGCTCTGCCCTCCCTTCTTTGTCCCCTCTCCCCTCCCCCAGTCCTCTCTAATTCACTCCCCGCTGCATAGACAGAGGAAAGGAGGGTGACAAAATTCCAGTAAGCAGCCAACCCTCCAGTCAGCCTCGTCCCCCAAGCCTAACCTTCCAGTCTCTGGTTATTACACCACAGGGTCCAGTCAGATTGGACACTCCAACCCCAGAGTGTCAGGGCTGAGAGGAACCTCAAAGACCGTCATGCCAGAGATTGCAAATAGAACTCAACTCATACGTCATCTCTGATCCCTGGAGCTCAGGACTGAGATTTAGTTAAGCAGAGAAGTGTGCCACCATCGACGACTGATGTCTGCCGTGGCCAGGATAGTTACACATATCTGACATTCCAATTTAACCCAGTTTAACCTCACACACACATGCACATACACATTTACAGATATTTTACAAAGACACTGCAGCCTAGAGAACGTGACTGTCATGTCAAGGTCACCCAGTTAGTATATCAAGGGGCTTTTCCCACCTAGATCTGCCTGACTCCAAAGCCGTGAGTTCCCCATTATCCCATGTGGGGAGGAGCCATCCAGGGTCCTGGTAAAGAGATGTGATACGGTTATAGGAGATTCGGGGAGAATTATCTAGCAACCAAGGCAGGATGGATTGGAGACTGGTGCAGTGGTCCAGGCAAGGCAAGGGTCGGAGAGTAATGGGAGGACCCAGGAGGCCTCTCAGAGTGAGTGATAAGGAGCCAGAATTCCTTGCTGCTGCACCTCTCCACAGGAGGCACTGGGCGGAAGGCAGGGCTCCTCCCTGGGCTCCACCAAGCCTTGGACCAGGACGTTCCTGGTTAATCAGGTGCCCACCAGGTGCTGAGTGCATAGATTGCCACTCTTCTAAGTCCCGTTTTTCAGCAGATCCATTGAGCCTTCTGGGGGAAAGTAGTGATTGGGCTTAGGGACTGGTGGGCAGGCCGGGAACCCCAGGATTGAGATTCTTGAACAAGACAGATGCATTCCTTACACCCTCAGGGGTAGAAAGGTCAGGCCAAAGGAGGAGAGACTAAGGTGTTTAAAGTGAACCCCAGAGACCCCATGGCATGGTGGTTAAGGACTTAGCCTTCAATCGGGCAGCTCTGTCATTGAATAGATGTTTATTATTCACCTAAAATAGGCCAGGCCACGCTCCAGGAACCAGGGACACATCAGTGAACAAAATGGAAACCCCTGCCTTCATGGAGAGTACTTTACTGGGGGGTGGGGGGGAGCCAGCAGACAAAATGATAAGCATAAATAACACAAGTATAGGATTTATTGGAAAGCAGCACCGAGCAAGGGGCATGGGGAGTGCTAGCAGCGGAAGGGAGGGGTACTGCAGCAGGAACAGGGTAGCTAGGGTAGAACTCATTGAGAAGGATGTTTGAGCAACGACTTGAAGAAAGTGAGGGAATGAGTTGTGTAGGGGAAGTACTCCAGACAGGGGCAAGAGTGGTGCAAAGGTCCTGAGGCAAGAGGGTGCCTGGTATGTTGGAGGAACAGGGGCCAGTGTGGCTGGGTCAGAGCAAGACAGGCTCATGCTTAGGGCCTTCCTGAATTTTTCTAAATTAATCAATTTAAAGATAAACACGAAATGAATAGTACAGTTGTAGCATAGTGACTGTGAGTAGGACAAAGTAAGCTATTTTCAAAATGGCTCAATCACCTTCAGTTGCTTTTGTTGCCTTTATGCAAAACTTGTGACAGTGGTACTGGAAACACTGTATCATCTTCTTCAGTGAGATTCTTTTCTCCATTTTACATTTGGAAAACAGATGCACAGAGAAGGGGAGGGACTTGCCTAGGTCACCAGCAAGGCAGGTCTGGGAACAGGAGCTGGGTCTGTGGATGGCAGATCTACTGTAGGTGTGACCCGGAGGGATGAGGCTACCAAAGAAACGACTCAGGACCGGGACTGTGAGGAGAGGGGACTCGCAGGGGGAAGCGGGGGACTGGGAGGGCCATGAGGTGTGAAGAGAGTGATTTATGGATTTAGGCGGCGCCTACTGCGCTTTGCCCTCCAGGGCACCGTGGGTGTGCTGGTTTTATTTTGCCGAGGAGGAAACGAAGGCTCAGGGAGGTTGAATGAGCTTCTGGTCCAAGATCACACAGCCCTCGAGAAGCTGAGCCGGGATTTGAACCCAATTAGAAGGACTCCCGATGAAGACAGCAAAGCGAGGATGAAGCGCAGGGGACAACTAGAATCGTTTAGGACGTAGAGTCGATAGTACTTGAGGACAAATTTGACCATACAGGGGTGAAAAGACCACCGCAGGCGGGTACCTCTGACCCTCAGTTTCCCCGGCTAGGGGTGTTAACTCTCCCGGCCCGCCTCCCGGACGGAGCATGCGTCCCGTTCCAGCTGGAACCGGTTTGGCGGAGCGGCCCGAGGGGCGGAGCCCCCCGTGCTCAGGCGTGCGCGTGCCGACGTGTGCGCGCGCTCCCTCTCACAGTCAGCCGGCCTGGGCGTGGGCTGGACCGCGCGCCCCGCGCGCTTGCGCACGGGCCACGTGCCGAGCGGGCTGTGCGCGCTCCCGCCCGCCCCGGGAGTCCCGGGGGACGCGCGCGCGCGGCTGACGCGGGGGGCGGGGCGGGGCGGGGCCGGCGCGGGGCTTTAACCCGGAGGCCCCGCCCCTCGGGCGTACAAAACCGGAGCCTCGGGCCGGGCCGCGTGAGGGAGGAGGGTGAGTGCCCGCCGCTGGCCGCAGCTGCCGCCAGCCCGTCCGTCACTCCGTCCGTCTGTCCGGTCCACGTCGTCGCCGCCGCCGCCTCCTCAGCCCGGACGCCCGGGGCCCGCCCAGCGTCGCCCGGAGCCGCGGCGGCCCCGCGAGGAAACGGGCGCCGCCCCCGCCCGGCCCTGCCCCCGCCCTCCTCCCCGTCTGTCCGTCCGTCCGTCCGCCCGCCCGCTTGCGCTTCCGTGCCCTGTGCGGCCGCAGGCCCTCGGCCGGTCTCCCCGCCCCGCCCGCTTTGTCTCTCCCCGGCTCGCTGTCTCTTTGTCTCTGCCCTCGCGGTGCCGCGGCCCCTCCCTCGCCCCGTCTCGGGGCCCCCTCGGCGCTCCTCGTCCCTCACAGCAGCCCTGTCTCAGCGCCCCGTTCTTTGGACTGCCCCTCGGAGCGCCCCACGTCTTTGGGGTCTCTCCTTCAGAACACCCTCCGCACTCTCCCGGGGCTCTTCTCGGAGCTCCCGCACATCCCTTGGGGGTCCCCCCTGCCGTCTGTACCCCCCAAATCCCCGGGGTCTTGCCTCCTCTTCGCCCTTATTTCCTCGAGATTTCCCCCTCTTTTGGTGTTCCCCGTGTACGCTGGGACCTCCGAGATCCCTTGGGGTCTCTCCTTAGGACCCCCAAAAGCTCCCCCGCTCCCTGACTTGAGCGCCCCTCCCTGCCTTCCCTCGGTTTGTCCCCTGTCGCTGTCTCTCCTTGTTCTCTCTCAGGCTTCTGCACCCCCCCTTTCTCTGGGTCGGGGTCCCCTGCTTTGCTCTCCTTGCCTCGCTCTGCCCCCACATCTGTCTCGGTGGTCTCGCCACTGGATGTCTCTTGCACGGAAAGCCCCCGTTTGAGCCTGCTCCTTGGCCCAGTGCTCCTGGCCCCCCTGGCTTTGTCTGCCCCGGCCCCCTGTCTCCCCCGCTCTCTGCTCCCCTGTCTCTCCCTCTCCCCTTTTCTGTCTTTGCCGGTCTCTGGGGCTCTGACCCCCGTCCGGCCCTCATGGCTTTGTGTCTGGAGCTCTTGAAGCAATGTGAGTGGTGGGGTGTCCAGGTCGGGCCGGAGTCTGCCCGCAGGCTGGCCGCGGCCGAGGCTCCATGGGGTTGGCGCTGGGGCAGGGCTGGCGCTGGGGCAGGAGGCTCTGGGGCCTCCCAACAAAGGGGGTGAGGAGGGAGGGGCCAGGCCACCTGGCAGAGGTTGGGGGGCGGGCCTTCCTGCTCTGAGGCTTCTGCTTTAGTTGCTTGAGTGTGTGGAGGGTGCCGCGGGCTGGACATCTCTGCCGGCTTGGCCCTGCATGGCCTGGCACTTTGTGATCGCTTGTGGGCAGGCCTGGGCTATTTTGGAGCCGGCAGGATGTGATATCACTTGGGCGTTTATTTAGATCAGGCTGGGGGTGGGGGCTGCGTTCTTGCCAACTTGAGTAATGAAATTTTGCAGGGGGGTGCGGCTCCTAGGCAGCTGGGCCGTCGGGTGTGTGGCCAGAACTTTGCAGGCCACCAGACTGGGCAGGTGAACCAGGGCCTGTGCTGCCTTGGTCTTGCTGAGACTCTCAGTCAGGATGAGGGGAGAGAGAAGTTGTTCTTAACCTGACCATCCTTGCGTATTGAGTTTGGCTGTCTAAGACCTCTGGGGCCTTGTTCTGCCAGCTTCAAGCTCTGTGACCTTGAGTGAGACCCTTGGCCTCTCCAAGCCTCAGTTTCCCCATCTGTAAAAAGAGAATAATTGTGCGGGCGTCACAGGGTTGTCATAAAGATCTAATGAAACATCTGTAGACATGTTTTGTGAATTGTCAGCCTGTCTTTACACGGAGCCCCACAGAGGGAAAGCAGCTTGCCCGGGGTACACAGCCAGTTCATGGCAGAGCTGGGACAGGGATGCCAGCCTGGGAATCCCCAGTCCAGGGTTCCTTACCCCCCACTCCAGTGCCACCTGGCTATTCAGGAATTACACCTGCCCTTCTGACAGGCCTGAGAGCAGGCTATCCCTTATTTATGCCTTGATTCCTGGTTGCCCTTTGTCAGTCTGTAAAGATAGGAGGATGTGTTCAGCTGGATGTCTGTAGTGGGAGACAGTTGGATTTTCCATGTTCCATCCCATTGTTGTTTAAGGGTGGGCCCTGCTTGGCCAGTGGCACTTGGGAATAAAGTCAGTCAGTTTGTAGTTAGGCCCTGGCTGCTTTCCCTGCTTCCCGGTGGAGTTGGGGAACAAAGGCCCCAGCTGACAGAGGCTCCACAGATAGCTGAGGTCTGCTGTCAAGGAGCCTAGGATCTCCTAGAACTTTGGAGCAGATGAGATCAGCTGTTGTAGCCCACTTGTCTTAGAGATGAGGCCCAGAGAAGCCAGGAACTCACAGAGGGTCAAGCCAGGACTCCTGGGTCCTGTTCCATGGCACTGCCTCTGAAGAGGTCACTGTCAGGCTGGGATCATCTGCCCACTGGTTTATAATGACAATTTCTAACATCATTGACCTTTTTGGGTGGCTTGTGCTTGGCACACTATGCAGACTACTTTACACTGGGGAGGGGTGGGGGGCTTGGTCCCTGGCCTGGAAGTGAGGGATCAAGGTTCTGGTCCCCACATCTGACCCACTCTCAGGCCACTTTTGCCTGGGCTTCAGCTTCCTTATCTGTAAAATGAGAATGATAATCCTTGTCCTAAGACTGATTCTGAAATCATGGAGTCCCTAAAGAATTTCTGTGAGGCAGAATGCCAAGGTTCTATTCCTGGCCCTGATGCTAAGATGCTGTGTGACTTCAGACAAGTGTTTTCCTCTCTGCATTTTTCCTTCTGAAAAATGAGGGAGTTGGATGGCATAGTCTCTTAGGTGCTTCCAGCTCTGACATTTAAGGATTCTAACATAACTCAAAGGTCACCTGTTTGTACCTGCATCTCATTTTCCCTGTTAAAAGTGTGCTTGATCACAGGATGAGAAGGAGAATGTGCTGATTGTTGCCAGACGTGTGCTGGTTATGTGCTGTGGGGTTTCATAGGAGAGAGGTCCTGCCAGGGCAGAGGGATCAGAAGGGCTTCCAGGAGAAGGCAGTCCTTGAGTTAGGCCTCTGTACCAAGCATGTTCTGCCTTTTAAACAAACTTTTCCAGAGAGTAGAAATAGTGTGGATTTTAGAGCCACAAACCCCTGGTTTTAATCAGTCTCCATCACCTGCTGCTGGTGTAATCTTGGTCAAGTTACTTTCTTTGGGTTTCAGTTTCCTCATTTGGAACGAAGAGAATCATATTTACACTGCAGGATTGAAGTGATGCTTAAGTGAGATTATATATAAAAAACACCTGGCACAGAGTAGGCACTTAATAAATGTGAACTTTCACCTCCCAATGATATCTAGACCACTTTTCTTTTTGTGGGAACAAAACAGAGGCCCAGCCTCTCCCCCTACCCTCTGTGACTGGGGTTCAAGTAACAAGGAAAGCACCTTCTGGCTGTTCTAAAAAATAATAGGAGTAATCCTCTAATGTCTCACTTGCTGTGTGAGGCTTTGTGTAATCTGCCCGGCTCCTTCCTGATCATTGTTCCTCACAACAGTCTTGGGAGGAAGTCAGAAGCCAGTGGGGTTCTACCTGTTTCACAGGTGAATGAAGAATAGGGGGCCCAGAGAGGGACAGGGACAGGCACATGCTTAGGGTCCCACAGCTTGGTGGTGTTGGGGCAGGCTTGAGCCCAGGCCTCTTGGCTTTTCTTCCCTGACAACCCACAGCGTTGCTCCAAATTTATTGCTTCTGTCTGGTAGGCTACCCCTCAGGCTGCCTTCTCTGGGTCTGGCATCTGTTCTGCAAGGAGGGGGTTTTGACGTTTCTCCAGCCTCTGAGCTCATCTCAGATTTAAATGAGACTAGCTTGAGTCTGGGTGGGGACTGAGTCACCATCTTCCTTGGTTTTCTCATCCTGAGCAGCAACCAGACACACCCAGAGGGCCACTGCCAGAGATCTGCTGGTTGCAGACACCACACGTGACAGGCTTTCCTCCTGGAAGCGCAGATGGGCTCAGGACTGTCTCTCCCAGGGGGGAGGCTGCAGCGATGGCTCCATAGGTATATCTTCACTCCCCAGGGGTCGGGAGGGCACACTAAGCAGTAGTGGCCTGGCCTTTTCTGCTCCAAGCCTTTATTTGTGCTCTACCTTCCCCCTCTGGTGCCCTCTCATCCCTTCAAGGTCCACATCGTCAAATGCCACCACCTCTAGGAAGTCTCTGATTGCTGCCTCTGGAGTCAGACTGTGAATTCAGTTCCAGGTTCATAGTTACTGAAGATGTGTCCTTGGCAGGCCCCTTCACCTCTCTGTACCTCAGTTTTCTCATATGTAAAATTTAGATTCCTCATCACTATGAAGTTGAGGTTATTGAGCTCCATCTCCAGAGATTCTCGTTTGGCAGTTCTGGAGGCAGGAATCAACGTTTTAAAGCAGCCCTCTGGAGGAGTCTGATGCTGACGGCCTGTGGGCTGCGCTCTGGGAGAAGCTGAGCTGAGAGTTTCCTGGCTTTGTATCACAGCTTGGCTCGTCCCTGCTGTGTGACCTTGGATTGATCAACTTTCTGCGCCTCAGTTTTCCTCTCCGTCAAATTGGGATGGAAATATTTACCTCATAGGTTGCTGTGTGGATGAGAACTCATGTAGTAAAGGCCCCTCAAGAAATGAGAACCTTACGCTACACTGCTGTTCCTGGGCGTCAGGGACTGTGCTAAGTGGTTCATGGCATCTTCTCACTGCATTACTGCAACAATCCTATGATAGGTGTCAGTCTTATCCCCATTTTACAGGTGAGGGACTGGCCCTTCATCATCGTCTTTGTTTTGGGCAGGATAGGTTGTTTCCAAAAGCAAGTTACCCTTCTGCTTAGCCCTGGCAGCAGACACTGTCAGACCTGGCCAGCGTGATGGCAGTGCAACTGAACACTTGGGCAGGAATGCCATCCCGTCGTCAACAAGAATTCAGTGAGGTTGATGAGGTTTGAGCGCCTCTCGGGTTCCCGGGTTTCCCAGTCCTGGCTAGGGCTCCTTCCCATCCCTCAGCCTGTGTTAGAATCAGCCAGTTCCCCCGCACCCCCCACTCCTGGGAACCAAGACCGCCTTAAAGACGAGTAAAATCCATATTGTGGAGCTAAAAGATTATTGTTTCTTGTTTCACAGTAAGGAAGCAGGTCCGGGGAAGGGGAGGGACAAGGACATGCCTGGGATCACAGAGCAAGACCATGCCAGGCCAGGCGAGAGCCATAGCCCTGCCTCCCCACGCAGCTCTCCCTCGTTTCTGTACGTTGCTGGCCTGGTGGAGAGCTGGAGTGGCAAGGTCTGGTTTGGCCAGTGAACAGTTTACTCACAGGACAAGAGCAAGAGAAGTGGTCCCAAGTGATCAGAGCTAGACTTGGCGCAGTCTGGAGCTGAATTGGGCTTGGAAAACACTTTCTGACCAGGGGCCTGCCCTCCCAGCCCTGGGCCAGGCTCTGAGAGGATGGGAAAGAACAGACAGACAGGGCCTTTGCCCCTGGGAACTTACGCTGTGATGAGGGAGACAAGGCCTACAATTATAAGAGACTGTGTGACAGTCTGTAATTAAGCGTCTGCTGAGGAAAAGCATTGTCTGAGAAGGAAGAACTGAGTGTGAGCCAGAGAAAACAAGAGCCCTCTTGAGGGGGCTGGATTTGCAGAGACAGAGGGTGGGGCTGACATTCGGGGAATGGTTTGTGCAGAGGCAGAGGTGCAGGGGTAGAAAGTAAGCACGTATTTAGGGAAACAGAGTAGACTAGTTTTGCTGGTGCATCAGGGAAAATCTTGGAGGAGCCAGCAGGTTGTAGTCATGTTGAATATCAGCTGAAAGCAGAGACTTTGGGGAGCCATAGATGGTTTTAGAGCAGGGGTAGCACAACTGGAGGATTTTTTCAAGATGAATCAGGCTGAATGAATGAAAATGAGGACAGGGAGGAAGCTTTGCAAGCATCCAGATGAAAGAAGAGGGCGAGGTTCTGGTGGAGCCTGTGGGAGTGGGAATGGCCAGTTGTCCCTGAGAAGAGCCCGCTGGGGGCCTGATGGGCCAGAGGAAAAGATGTTGGGTGTTGCTGCTTTGGGGCAGGAAGTAACAGTCTGAGCACATTGCTTGTACACCTGCGCCATGCCAGGCTCTGTGCCAGGGCCCCCACAGGCACTCTGATGAAATCCTTACAACAAGCTTGAGGCAGGTGGACTTACCATCCCCGTTTTACAGATAAGGAACATGTGGCTCAGACCCAAGGCTGGCTGACTGTAAACTCTGGCTTTTCCCACAGTTCGGCTCTGCTTCTTGGAAAGGAAACTTGTACTGTTCAGGTCCCAGGAATCTGAGCCTTCTTGCACCTTGAATTGGGGGCATGGAAATGCATCCCCTACAGCCCACAAACCTCTGCTTTCTGAAGATCTGGAAGGCTGGAGCTGGGTGCCAGCTTAGAATTTATTCAGGGTAGGAGAGTCAGAGAAATAAGGGGCCCTTTACATCAGCAATTTTACTCGCCAGGCTGTGAGCAACCTCCAGCATTGGGTCTCATATGTGTCTAGTCCAACAACGGGCACATCCACGACTGGGCCCATTGGGATTCTCAGCCGGCCCCACCAGAAGGGGTGTGCCCTGGCCCAGCCAGAGGAATCAGTCACCCACAAAGGCAGGAAGGGACTTGTCCGGAGGTACTCTTAGCACGGGAGAGCCAGGTGATGAAGCCCACCCAGTTCCCATTTTCCAGGCTGCAGCCAGGGATACCCATTGGGCAGAGGGAAGCGACAGGTGCCTGGGACTTACTGTAGGAGGCAGCAGTGGTTGATCCCAGTGTGCAGCTAGGGAACTGATGGCTTGACCAGCCCTTCTGCTCTGTGTGGCAAATGCTCTCTGAGCCTAGCTGTACGCAGGGTACAATTGTAACTGCACCTGTGTTTTTCATACCAATATCTAGACAAAGGTTTTGATGGATTTTTGTACTCCTTTGGAACAGACACAGCCTGAGAACTATCATTTGGACATTGGAACAGTGGACTAGAATGACCTGTGCTGTCCCTTTCAGCTGTAGTAATTTATTTGATTAATGCTTTACCATTTGCCAGGTGCTTTCTCGTAAATTTGATCATTCTCATGTATATTCATTCTTTTTATTTTGTTTTCACATTGGTTCTGGATCCTTAATATTTGTTTAGCCTATTTTTGATTTGCAAAGCATTTTCATCCACATTATCTCAGTAGATCCTTATACAACCCTAGGAGGTCATTAGTGTTCTTGTCATTCTCATTTTCCAGAAAGTGACTTGACCCAGGTCACTCCGGGATTCACTGGCTGAGCTGCTCATTTATTCAACAAGTATTTATTAAATGCCCGCTGTGTGACAGGTGGTGAGCTAGCCCTGGGGACACAGTGGCAAGCAGAGCAGTCTTAGAGACTTAGTTTCTGACCTCCCAGAGTCCACAGTATCATTGAGGTCTGGCCAGGATCCCCCCCAGCGCTCCTGACCCCCACCCTGGGCTCTTTCCACTGCAGATCCCTGTAGTCTGGCTTAGATCTAGACTAGTGTAGCCTGTGAGCCCTCAGCCTAGAGTATCATAGTAAAGAAAGCCAAGGCAGCAAGTCTCTGCAAACTGAACTTCAAAGTGACACAAGAAGTCTTCAGGAATGACTTAATTATTAACAAGAAGTTGAGGAAGGGCATCTCAACAGAAGGCCGCCGGTTCCTTCTTCCCTGGGGGAAGTCACTCAAGGGCTGCTGCACCTAAGATCCTGGCCTGAATTTTTTGCAACCTCCAAATATTTGATTACAGTCTGCACAGGTGTGGAGCTTTGTGGCTATCTGCTGGGCTGGGGACCCTCCCTGCCTCCTTTAATACTAAGTGAATTGAAATAAAGGCAGATCCTAGGATATCTGGTCTGCAAAGGACTCTGGCCCAACCCACTCACTTCCTGTGAGTGGGAACCAAGCAGAGGAGGGGAAAGGATTTGCCAGGATCACTATCGAGAGACACGTTCCTTCCCCTTCCTCTGTCTTACCAGCCTGACTTAATTTCCCTTGTCCTTCAGGTAGGAACCCTCCCCTCCCAGCTGTACCTGTTTGACATTCAAAGCCCTCTTCAAATCCTTCCTATGTCTCAAGGCCAAGTTTTTCCTGAGTCTTCCTCGATGCTTTCTCCCCACCCAGAGCTCTGTGGGGTCCAGGCCATCTCTGTCTACTCTCAGCTGCTGACCACACGTGCTATAAGGCTAGACAGGCAGTCCTTGAGGAGACTTCAAAATCCAGGTGCCTGGGCCCTTCCCCCAGGGAGTCTGATGCCTGAGGCTTCTCTGGGTTTATTTTGCTGGAGTTATTTTTTGTGTGTAAAAATTATATTTTTATTGAAAAAGTAATACATGTATGTGGTTAAACATTTCAAACTTCGTAGAAAAGTGCCCAGTGAAAAATTAGTCTCTCTCCCACCTAGGCTCCTAGGTGGCCACCGTGAACAGTCTTGCCGTTTCCTTCCAGAAATGCTCTGCATATCTAGGCAGCTGTGTCAATAACATCCCTTTTTGTTACGCAAACGGTGACCTGTTCCCTACCTGCTGTTCTGTGCCTTGTCGTCTTCACACAAGTCTGTTTGTTGTAGGCTCTTCCCTGTGGACACACACAGGTCCACAGCCTGCTTTTCCATGACCATGTGGCAGTCCGTCATCAATGGACCCCTGGTTGTGTGTCCAGTCCTCTACGCAGGGGTGTCCAGGGTGTTCCCAGTCTTGCTGCTGTGGGCAGTACTGCAGCAGGTGCTCTTCCCCGCGTGTCCATGTGCGTGTGTGTGCACAGCTCTGGGAGCCAGTCCTGCAAGTGGAACTGCTATCTTGAAGAATCTGTACAGCTAAAATTTTGTTAGATATTTTCAAATTGCCTTCTTTTGCATTCTGAAAATGTATATATTTTTTTAAAGTATCCTGCCCCCACCCCTGGATTCAAATTCATTTCCTTGTTAAGAACCGACTATTCTAATCCAGCCCGGAGAGGGAAGGAGGCTGGATTAGAAATGGGCTGGAGGGATAGCAAGAATGGAGCCAGGATTGGGGGGGAGGGGACCTGTTATAGGTACCTCGGACCTGTATGTGACTTGGTCTCCAGGGAGAGGTATGTCACACATGCACACCCAGGTGAGTGTCTCACACACACATACACACCCACCCACCCATGTCGTGTCCCTCCTGCGCTTCTCTGGCACATGCTGCACCTGCTTGGCAACGGCTGGGCCAGTGAGCTCATTTTGTCCAGTAAATATTTACTGAGCTCCTGAATCCAGTGCTGGATTGGCCACTCTGTCCCTGTCCTCCTCTGATCCTCAGTTTTCCTAGTCTGAAAGGTGGGAAGGCTCATCCCTGCTTTTCTCGGGTCGTCAGGCTAGTGGGAAGATTTGGTAAACCAGCCAGTGGGAAAATACTGTAAAACAGATTACAGTGGGCTTAGCTAGACACTGCTAGGTACCCTAGGGTCAGCAGAGTCTGAAGTTTGGACCGGTCCTGGGTGGGTTGCTATCTGTCATAGCAGATGGCCAGGTCAGCCCTCAGGCTGGGAGTTTTCAGTCAGCTGATGGTGGGTGTCTCCTCTGCTATGGCAAGACAGGGTCAGGCTGGTGCCTGGGGGATTCCTGAATTTCCTCTGCCCTGGGCTGCTGGGACTCCAGGGCCACTCAAGATAAAGGGATTCAGTTGACAGGCAGGGGAGAGACAGGGAGACCAGGAGTCTTCGCACTGCAGCCAGGGTTTTGCCTCCTCCTTCAAGTCAACAGGAAGGCCCTTCCAGCCCCCGCAGGTCATTTCCGCAGCTCCTTTTCGGTCTTTGGTGGTGGCAGGGATGCGGAAGGGGAAGTTCTATCATTTTTCTAGTTTAAAATGATGTTTAAAATCACTTGCCTAGTTCCTCGCTCCCATTTTATCTGTGGAGAAACTGAGGCCTGGAGTTGAAGGCCTCCTTCCAAGTTTCCCAGTGAGTCAGCAGCTTTACGGCATTAGAAGCCATGCGTTCAGTCCTCCCAAGCCTTACCTGTCACTGTCTTTCCCACATTGGCCGTTCTTTAGTTTCACTTTGGGGTTAAAAACCAAAGTGAAAGAAAAAGACAAAGCAGGAAGCAGCTGCTTCAGACCCAGCCCAGGCTGGGGTGGGCCCTGAGGGACCTAGGCCGAGCTGGCCTTACTAGAAGGGGAGCTGGCCTCTTCCCACCGGCTCCTACCGTTCTGGAGGCCTGGCTGGGTGGGGTCCGGGTGGGGCCCCACAGGGAGAGGCGCCACGCTGCAGCCCTGCTGGTCTGTCTGGGAGCCGGGTAGTCAGACGGGTTCCCTGGTGAAGTCAGCCTTCCCCGGGTGTGGCCCCAGGTGAGGAGCTACTGCCTTTTAAACTCCTGTCCTTCCGGGGCAGGGCTGAGCTGGAGCTGGGCCTGTGTTGGCGTGGGAAAGACGTCCTGGCCTCCCGAGTCTAGCTTTCACAGAGCAGTTCCACAATCCCTGAGGTAAGAGCTAGCGCCCTGTCTTCCCCGTGAAGACGTTTAAACTTTCGGTTGCTATAGGCGCTTACCTCAACCCCCAGTGGTGTCTTAAGGACCCAGATGGCCTGAAAGCCTTTTTGCCCTGGGTCCAGTCCCAGGGACTTGGAGAGGACAGGGGTTGGGGAAGCAGGACCCTTGGCTTCTTGTTCAGTTGGTGGGTGGCCTCAGGCAAGATCCTTTCCGGCTTTGGACCTCAGATTCCCTTTTTGTTTCTCAGGCTGGAAGGAGTTCCTTCTAGCTCTGCTGCTCAGTTGAATCGATTTGGGTCCCTTGGAAGCTACTGAGAGGGTATCATAACACCCAGTTTGGTTGGCCTGTGTATTTCGAAGATTAGCTATTATCTAACTAGCTGGGGTCGTAAGTTCCTGCTTCTCTGTGCTTTGTCTAAGGAAATTTTCAGACTTGACAAAGCAGATATGATATCAGTTTTGTGGCTTCAACAAATATGATTTTTGTGTACCTTTCTTCTCCTCTGCACAATCACAAAGATCCCCAAGTACAGAGCCCTTGTGGTTCAAATCCACTCCCCGAGGGCACAGGCTGAGCACACAGTGGATGATCTGGAAGTTGTTGTTGAATGACTGCATTGGTGACCACACCTGGCCGCCCTGCTCCTATGGAATGCAGAAAGCTGGCATTTATAATGCCCAACTGTGTACACCTGAGCTGGGCACAGTGGGGAGAAGCCCACACCCCAAAAGTCCTGCATACCTCTGGTTAAGAGTATAGCTCTAGAGTCAGACTGCTGGAGTTCAGATCCTGGCTGCCCTCTAGAGCTGTGAGACCTTGGGCAAGTTGCTTAACCTCTCTGGGCCTCAGTTTCTTCACTTGCAGAATAGAGATGATAATATTACCTGACATTAGTGTCAGCATGGGGACAAGAGAGAGAATGTGTACAAAGCACTGAGCACAGTGTCTGGTACAGAGGAAGCATTTAAGCACTGTTAGCTGCTGCTCTTATTGATACCCAAGGGAAGAGAGAAGACTTACGGTATTTAGTACAATATGTAGACTGTCGATGTCCCATGCCTGGAAAGATGTAGGTGGACGAGGTGGGGTGTTTGCAGGTGTGTCAGTCATTTGATGGCTGTTTGTTGACTGCAGGGCTCTAATGGGGAATATGGAGTGAACCAAGGCAGGCTTTAGAGAGGAGGGGACCTTCAGGACCTCAAAAGCTGGGTGGGCTCCAGGTGGATGGAGATATTGAAGGGAGGATACCTTGGATGGGGGAGGGGAGGATGCCAGGGTGGTGGGGGGTGCCCTGGGTTGAGGAGAGAAGGCAGCGGCCGGCTGTCCAGGGCCAGGAGAGCTGAGATCAGGCTAGAGAGGGCTGCCCAGGGCCATCAGAGTCCAGCGCACTCAGAGCCAGGGTTTTTCTCTGCAGGGTCATCACTCCATGGGGGCACTTTCCTTCTGGGGCCATGATGAGCCCGTTATTGAGTGTGCTGTGAATAGATTTAATAGTTCCAGCCGCTCCTGGAACTCTCTTGCCTTCCCAAGCTTCCCATGCTTCCTGACGTGGCTGTTGCCCTGCACAGGGGTGTAGTAGCAGTCAGGAGGTGTCTGCTTGCGGCCTGCACTGCCGGTGGGGGTCGGAGGAGCGGGGCTTGTCTGACAGCACCTATAAAGGCACGGCTGCCACTGCTACTGCCCCAGCAGTTTCCTCAAAGGGGCATGTGCAGCAGTGCGTGGGGACAATGCAGGGGAAGAGGATTTGGGTTCACCCCAGGCAGCCCCTCCCTCCTCCCACCCCACCTCCGCTTCTCTCTCCAAACAATCAGCCATTCTTGTGCTCAGAGTGCCAGGTGCTGAGCCCAGGGAGGGGAGGGAACAAGACGGACTTGGTCTCTTTCTTCGTGGGGCTGCCCTCTAGCTTGGAGTCCCCATGCAAGCAGGTAACAGAGACAAAAGATACTGTCTAATTGAGATAAGCCCTCACGGAGACAAACAGGTGCTGAGAGGGACCGATTCAGAGAGGATGGGGACGCATTTCAGGGAGGGTGAGGTGGAGGACAGCAAGGAGGTAGTCAGGGGCAGCCTAGGAGCAGTGGGGGTCAAAAGGTGGAAGGTATTGAGGGAAGATACAGGCAGGACGTCACTGGTCTCTGTGAGCCTGGTTAGATCTCAGGCAAGCAGCTTTGCTCACCCTGTAGGAGCCAGAGGTGTCACTGAATTAAGAGGTGTGATAATGAAAGTACTACAAGTGATTTTGTCTTAAAACTAGCATCAGAACTTCTGAATACTTACCTTGTTATTGGCTTTCATATTGATCATAAGTCCTCAAGAAATGGCTTCTTCAGCCCTCCCTATTTATTGCTAACTTCCGTTCTCATACTACTTCACAGTCCACAAAGCCGTGTTGCCTCTGTTGCTGAGGGAGGCAGGTTGCAGTTTTTAGAGGTGATGAAACAGAGAAGTGAAGTGACTTGCCCAAAGTCACACCGCTTAATCAAGATTTGAAGTCCTGGTTCACTGTTCTTTCTATTCTACCACATTCCCTCTGTTTAATAAGGCCAGGGCAGAAGTTTCTATTTCTTTTTAGCAAGGTTGCCATTCCAAAGTGATTACAGTTAAAAAGTTTTGGTGTAGAATGATATAATAGTAATTGTGTTAGGGCAATACGATTAGAACAACTTTTTCTATTTTCTATAGTTACACGAGATAATTATAGTTAATTCTTTTTTTTTAAGTTTTAAATTGTTTTTCTTCACACAGTCTCCCTTCATCCCCTTTCCAAGGTTTTGTGATGCTGAAAAATTGATCACTGTCCTTGTAGGCCTCCAATCTTTTTTATTTTCTATTTGAGTTCTTTCTTTTTCTTTTATTTCTATTTCCTGAATCTTAGGAAAGAGATTGTAGGCAGATTATAGATCAGCCCCTGCTCATATATACATTCAACTCAAATCAGAAATCAAAAACTTCATGCTTAGAGTAGTTTTAAATATTTCATTCTGTGACTCTTGGATTTGGGGTGAAAAAATTCAAAGCAATTTGATAACTGGGGCTCATTTGTAGAGAATTCCCCAGTGGACTCCTCACTAGCCCTTTTTTTTTCATTGTAAAATACACATAAAAATTTACCATTTCAGCTATTTTTAAGTGTACAGTTTAGTGGCATTAGACACACTCACATTATTTTACAACCATCACCTCCATCTATCTCCAGAACTTTCTCATCTTGCGAAACTGCAACTCTTACCCATTAAACAACAACTTCCAGTTCCCCCCTCCCCCAGCCCCTACTTTCTGTCTCTGTGAGTTTGACTGCTCCAGGTACCTCATTCTCCAGCCCATTTTAAGGAGGTATATTTGAAAGGAGCAGTAGATGATGTCTCTGAATAATTAACTGTTTTTATGGTGATGAATTCTCCAAGTTAATGCACTCTGCAACTCTGAGCTTTCCGTGGCTGTGTTCCAGCAGAGTCTTTAAAAGACTCATCATCTCCTGGGAGGGCTTCTTCCACAGAGGCAGCCTTGGTTCCAAAGCCACGGTGGCTGCATGGAGCCTGGCCACATCTCCCCTGTGGAGGTGGGCTAACAGGATGGGGAGGACTGTGAATTTAATCATAATTTAGCATAAGTTCTCAATTAGCTACTTACTGTGGGATTTGGCCCAAGTCCCTCCATCTCTCTCAGCCTCAGCTTCCTCTTCTGAGAAATGGACAATACTTCCTGTCATGTGTGCATCCCAAAATCTCTGAGTCAGATAATGGACTTCCCTTTGAGCCTTGAGAATCCTAGCACAGTGTTCAGATAGGGTTAAATGCAAGGAAAACAGGGCTTCTGATCCCCATTTTACAGAAAAAGCAGCAGAGACTTAGAAGTAAAGTGACTGGCCCAAGGTCATTCAGCACTTAAGTGATAAAACTGGGCTGAAACCCAGCCACCCTCACTCTCTAAGTTGCAGCTATTGGGGTTCCTTGTTGGTCAGTCTTTTGAAGGACAGTAGTCTGTAAAACAGATGGTCGTTTTCCCGTCTTACTGGATTTAAAACATTGTCCAAGAAGCTCTGATGTTGATGGGCCTGCAAGGAAGGACGAGGAGTAAAGGCTTTAGTGGGGAATCAAGGAAGTGATTCTGCATCATGGGAATAGAGTCCTAAAGCATTTCATGGTGACCGTCTTGCCCAGGGACAACAAACACCTTGTGCTTGGCAGTTAGTTCCCGTACTAGGCCCATGGCAGACAGCACCGATCAATCATGACGCTCGCACTCAGCCTAGACACAGCTCGAGGATCCTTCTTAACACAGGCAGGTACTACCCATCAACTAGAAGTAGCACACCCATTGGAACCTATGCCGTCCCCAACCTAGTGCAGTCCCCAGCTTTTACAGAGGGGTGGCAGTCCTGGGAGGGGAAGGGACTGTTTGAGGGGCAAGTGATGTCACAGGTCTGTTTGTGAGAGCAGAAAAGAGTCTGGCAGGACAGCCCAAAGCCTGGGGAGGTGATTAGCATGCTTGCAAAAACATCGAGGCGGAGCAGCTCAGAGGGGTAGAAGTTGTCAAGGTAAAGTCTGCTTGCTGC